TACAAAGACAATGTTTAAAATGTATTTAAAAAATGTTTGTTTTATAAATATTACAGTATCTTTAGATGCGCGTTATAACTTCATTCGTGTTTGTTACACTTTATTCATTAAACATGAAAATGTTGTTTGTTTACATTGCGTTTTCGTTATGTTAAGAGATTTAGGCGTAAAACTTGAGACATTAAGCGTTATCATAGACAAATTCCTAAAAATAAAACTGCTACAATTACCAGTGATATAAAAAATATATGTGGCATAATCACCATTTGTTGCAATTGATTATGTAAAAATTTTTGAAATATTTAAAGTAATATTGAACAATATAAAAGGTTAATGTTATTATGATTAATACTTACAATGTATTAGTGACGACAATTGCCAGCATAGATTTGATAACCATCTATCCGGTGTTACATAACTTCACCAAGCTATATGCATTTCTAATAACAACAACTGGATTGCTGGTATCATTACCAAGCTATATGCATTTCCAATAACAACAACTGGATTGCTGGTATCATTACCAAGCTATATGCATTTCCAATAACAACAACTGGATTGCTGGTATCATTACCAAGCTATATGCATTTCCAATAACAACAACTGGATTGCTGGTATCATTACCAAGCTATATGCATTTCCAATAACAACAACTGGATTGCTGGTATCATTACCAAGCTATATGCATTTCCAATAACAACAACTGGATTGCTGGTATCATTACCAAGCTATATGCATTTCCAGTAACAACAACTGGATTGCTGGTATCATTACCAAGCTATTTGCATTTCCAGTAACATTAAATCGTTGTTATATTTACCAACTAAATGCATTTCCAGTATCATTTGATTGTTGTTATCGTTACCAAAGTATTGCAATCCCAGTAACATTTCATTTTTGTTACCGTTAATAAACTATATGCAAAAAGATACCCAGTAGCAACATTACTAGCATAATTTTCTTCATTGAGTTGTAACGAAAAATAAACATTTTATAATAAAAACATATATCATTTACATTTACCAAATAATCATTTACAATATTAATATTACATGCAAGATTGCAAATAAACTTACCATCACACAAACAAATTGATCATATTTTTAAAAGTTGTTCCTTTTCACAGTTAAATATTACCTTTACCTTTCTAATATTTTAAAACCCAACTTTTAGTGTAACGGTTGAAGGACCGATTTTAGTTGTCTTTTCATTTTTGAAAATTTTTTATCCATTCATAACTGACTATACAAGAAAAATTTTTTTTTTTGCAAACCCTTAACTGGAAACAGAAAAACTTCAGCTTTCTGTTATTTGCATCTGGCAGTCATGACAGTTCCAGATAACATCTTCTTTCTCATATATGCACACAGTGGAATACTTTCGCATTCACGATGAAACCATTTGTTACAAGTAAAACATTGTGCCATTTGTCTGAACAAAAAATTAAAAATTTAAAATGAATTTGGTGTTATAAATAATATATACGCATACCAAAGTTAAGTGGTAATTTAATATCGACATTCATCTTCACTATGATAAATAGCCTTTGTAAAAACTAAAAATTTCTACATACCCCTTCAGTATGTGTAATATCGTCTTATGCACAAACATAATATTGTATATGATAACATACCTATTAAAAATATGCTCATCTTTTTGGGTCCAAAACATGCGACAGGAACAATGTAGAGGAATATGAAAACTCTTTGCTGCGCATCTTTTAAACATAGTTGGGGTAATTGCTTTTGGAAAAACATCTAACTGGATATTTAGTATACAGTTTAAAAGATGATTCCTCATTTCATTTTGCTCAAACGTATGAGTACTTGGTGGAATACCATTTGTTTCTAGTACCTGGCGTGCCCAAGCAATAGCATAAAGCCCACAATCTACCCCATTTGTTTGCTGTTGTACAGGTAAAACTTTAATAACAATTTTTTTTGTGAACAGTGTAAGATGGAGCATATTTGTCTTTTAGTCTCAATACTTATTAAATCATGAAAAAGACTGTCGAAAATATAGATTTCTCCAGGCTTGCAATCATAAGTTGTAATGCAAACCCAATGTATATTTCCATCATGAAGAATTTGTACAAAAGGTTTGCTAGGACAAGGATCAAAAGACATAACCTTTCCTTTAACGGGATCTTGAAGACCAACATCAATGTTAAATTGAATTGACATCATTCGTTGACAAAAGTGTATGACATTATCGTTTAGCATTTCTCCTTTAACTATGTCATTTTTTTCAACATTTCGGATCAAGGAGCATTTAAGATTCTGAATGCAGTGCACAGTGCTTTGAAGTTTGTCATTATCATTAACTATGTTGACTTTGTGGAATTCTTGGCAATTATCAAATGCTTCTCCTGTCACTTCAATTGGTTCCATGGAAACTGTAAATGTTTCACAATTATCATCAATAACATCAGTAAAAATCTCTGAACTACAACATTCATTATTTACATTTGGTGTCACATTGATATTTAAAGCTGCCTTAGTGATGTCGTGTTTTATACCAACTCTTTTGGTCAACTTCCTTTTGCGTCTTACGGGAAGATTAACAAGACTTGGTAAATTAGATTTAATCCAAGTTTCAGGTTTTAGGTCTGGACACAAAATAACACCTTGCTCTCTTTTAAGAGTTTCTCCAAAACTTGTTTTAAGTTTATGAAGTTCTTGAAACAAATTGTTTATTGCTGGTTGAGAGTCACTCAAATGTGTCATGTTTATTATTGCATTTAAAAGTTCGCGACATGCAGCAGGAGTGTGACTTACTTGTGATTGACCATGTTCTTTACTTTGATCAAAGTACAAGATTTTACTATTTATGGAATGAACACTTTTGACTGCCTGAAGATTATATTTAGACACTTCCCAAGGTTTGGCATCATCAAGAGGCTTCTCATTGATATTTTCAGATATATCTTCAGTAGGCAAACGTGTAAAATGAAACGTTGTTGAATGATTATTTTTATCTGATAAGGGATCAATGATAAAATATGGTGAACTTCCATAAGATGGATCAAAATCAGACCAGGAAAGATTGAACTTGAGAAAAATGGAAAAAAAATGTTTGCATGGATAAGCACTAAATAGCCAAGAAGAGCAAGTACAACTTGGCAAATGATCAGCATCACCAAGATAGCATTGGTAAGTTTCTCTGCTATTAGACTGAAATGAGGCTACATTCTACAATCTGTTTGTTACTGCACTAATTCTGATTGAGTCCACACCATTTACTTTATCTATCATATTCATGCAATGTTTTACTAAAGGTTTTGGACGATTTGTCAAATAGGTCGGAATGTTTTATTTATATTTTCTATAGGATGAAAATATAAATAAAACATTCCGGATGTCTTCTATTTTTATCTGCATAGCTAAATAACAAAAGTGATTGTTTAATTTATGTTCAACTAATTTACATTCAACAACTAAAAATTATTTGCTATTTACCAAAACAGCTTTATACTTTATACTTAAATATATAAAATCATATATTATATGTATGTAAACTCTCACTTTCTCGCTCTCTATATATTTACAGATTCTTTCTCGCTCTCTATATATTTACAATTTATTGTATAATATTATTTGCACAAGTAAAATCGTAGAAAATAACCATTTTAAGGTTATCTTAGAGTCTTTGCTGTCATTCTACCTAAGGACTCAGGGTTCAAAAAATGATTGCTCCTCTTACCTAAAAGTATTAATTTTATTTTCTACTATAAATACATAAACTTTATTTCTTTTCAGACCTACGGGATATCAAGAACTAGAAAGAAGCTCTGGTACTCCGCATCCCTGATATCCTTGATCTCTCTCTCTCTCTCTCTCTCTATATATATATATATATATATACATATATATATATATATATATATATATATATATATATATATATATATATATATATATATATATATATATATATATATATATATATATATATATATATATATATATATATATATATATATATATATATATATATATATATATATATATATATATATATATATATATATATATATATTCATGTGTGTGTGTTTATAGATCAGGGATGCAAATAGGTGGTTTTAACTTAAAAATAACTAACTTGTCGTAATTGTGAGGAAGGAATTCCTCAATACAAATACAAAGCATAGCTGTGAGAGATGATGTTTTCCGTTTTTCTAAAAAACTATATTTAAAAGATTGGTTTTGTCTTTCAGTGCCATTATTAGTATTGATACTCCGCAATAAGCGTTGTCGCCTGTAGGCAAACACCCATCTCTAAAAAAGAAGAATTGTTACAAAAGAAAGGGAAAACTTGTGTTTTCAGAGAGAATAAGTGTTGATAATTAAATCTGTAAAATTGTTTTCGTTTAAATTAGTATATATTCTTTAAAATTTAAAATTTTTTATATAATCATTTTTATAAATGAAATAGGCATTAATGGCAATAATAATATAAAAATTTGAAAATTACATTAGTTTACGCTTAATAAAATAAAAATCCTAAGCCAATTAAAAATTTAAAATATTGGAACAAAAAAGCCAAACAAAGTCATGTTGGCAATCAGCAGATTATTTTTTGCACCGGTCAGATTTATGGATTTGGTTATGAAGAGGTCAATTTGGCAACCCGGAGTAAATAGTATGCAAAATTATCTTAATAAGAACCTCCTTAATGATGAACGAAAATGAAAATGTTTCAATTTTGTTATATTTAAATGAAATTAAATAAACCTTTTGATTACATAACCAAGTGCTATTTAAGTAATCAGCTAGTTTTGGGTTATTTTTCCACTCTTCTGATTCTTTTAATGAATTAACAGCATTTTGGCAAATTTCTTCTGTTTTAGCATGAGCAATTTGATGTAGTTTTAACTTAATTGCATCTTTTACCATATAACAACCATTAGCAGTTTTAGAAAGCCATCGTTCCCAAGATTGCTCTCGATGAAAGTCACAAATTAAAACAGAACACCCTAAAAACAGCAAGTTGGATTTGGTTTAAATGATCATATAACAATAAAATATTAAATAAAACACAATAAATGAATAACAACGTTAACCTGGAAACACTGATTCTAATGAGTTTTTTCTTCATTTGAATAATCAGTTAAGAAATATTTTGGTTGAAATTTAGGGTTCCATTCCTTAATGCACATTAATGCTTCTGTGATGGCGTCTGTGGTCTCATTCTCACACACAAAAATGGCAACAACCTGGTAATCAATATTAGTTTTAACAACCAGAAAGAATAGTGGAAGAGCGTATCTAGTTGTGTGATATGTTGCATCAAGAAAAACTAGTTCAGGTCCATACCGTAAGAGTAATCTTTTCTGCCACATGTCTTGATATACGAACAATAATGAATCCTTAAGCTTTGAATCAATATTATCAATGATGTTGACACCTTTTGGTCTAAATTTTATCATTGCCTCATGAAAGACTATTTTCCATTCACTAATTTTTTCAAGCAAACATTTTTGATCTATCATAGATCTACGAAGTTTTCTTCTTGCATTGAGCATATGATTTCGAATTGTCTTATCCATTGGAAAGAAACGTTTGTTTGTCTTTTGTGGTTTGTCAGAAGTAATTTCTCGATGAACAAAAAACTCTAGATGTCGCCTCATTTCAGAAATAGTATTGACACCCTTTTTTACCAGGTCACCAATTTTTACTATGAGATCATCAGAAATAGATTGATTCCTGCAGTCTACAACAACAAAAAAAGATATTGTAGTAATAAAAAAAAATTAAAAACAAAATCAAAAAAGCAAAAACAACTTAAATAAAATTATTAGATATATTAACAAAATTACATCACTGACCTCACCAACTGGATTGTTCCTATGAACAGAAATATCAGGCAATAATAAAATATACTCTCTGGACTTATGTACATTTTCTGACTTAGCTAAGGATACACGGAGTTTTTTAGATGTTTCATTTCTTAACCGTAAAGAATTTCTTAAAAGCTGTAAAAATTAGAAATTATTTGCTATAAGGTTTTCATACTAGAAAATGGTTATTAAACTGTTTAAAATCAGAGTATGTGTTTATGAACATAAGGATTATAGCGTGTCACACTAATAAATACCAATACCTTAAACTCTGGAAACTCTACAATTTCTTTTATATACACAATGGCAGGTCAATCAAACTTTTTAGTATCCTAAAGAATAACTCTACTTTTTTGACAGTAATGATCGGTACTCTATGCATTAAGAAAAAAAAAATTAAATAAAATTCACATTGTTTATTAACTAATTGACAAAACAGATGTTAAAAATTGCAATATAAAACAATATTAATAAATCCAAAACAAGATTTTTTTAAATTATTCTTTTAAAACTTATTTATACTTTGAACTAAATTGAAATTTTTTTTTGTACATACAGCTTTTTTATTTCTCATTTGTCTGTATTGAGCTTTTGCTTTAATATTTCTGTCTTTTCCATGTTGACAGTCAAGTTTTGTTAGAGCTGATACAATAAATGGTACTCCAGTGTATGGAAATTCCTTGTCCTCGTAAAACACTTTATGTGTTTTTTTTTAATAATTCTACATAATAATAAAAATATAACTCATTACAATTTTTCAAGCAAATGTAAATGGAAGAAGTTTAACATTTGTAATTTATGTTTTAGCACAGTTTAGCTTCTTAAATTAATTTGCCTACCTTCAAAGTTATTTTCCATGGTTCCTGAGCAAGTTACAACATAATGCAATGTGTGCAACATTTCATGCTCTTTAATTTTTGCATAAACATCGGCATATGTGGCAAAAAAATGCTTTTCAACAGAAAGAGTAGAGTCAACTGCCATCATTGTTTCTTAAAAAAGTTAAATACACATTTTTTAATCAGCACTCTCATTACAAGATTCCTCAACTTTACTTAAGAGATCTTACCTTGTGAAAGTTCTAATTCAAGTGAACAACTATCTTCATTCATTTTACAGTCAAGAATAAATACCCGAATTAGGAAAATGTATTGAAAATAAGTTGAACTACAAGAAAATAAATATAAAATATTACTTATTTAATAACTTTAAATTTAATAAAAATTTACATCTCTAAAACGAATTAAGAAAAATTACATACAATATAATAATAAACAATAAAGAATAGTTAATAATTAGAAATACTTTATATTTATTACGTGCGCCACGAGGTTTCAATACTTTAATGGGGATCGCCTAAAACGCCGAATTCTAAAACGCCGAAAAGCCGAAATGCCGAAAAACCATCTTAGAGTAACAGAAATGAGAGCAATGAATTACCGGTAGTCAACCCCCGCGTTATTAATGTTTAAATTATTGTTTTAAATTTAAAAAAATTGAAAACATGTAAAATTAAAAAAAAAAATGCAGCAGTAAATTTTGTTTAAAAAGACAGAACCAAAAGCCAAATTTGGCTTTGGCTTTTGTCCTTTTAAACTTTGCATTTACAAATGCGCAATAAAAAATCCGGGGGATATTTAACTTTTCGTTGTCTTTTTTGACGGTTACCGAATTCTATTATTACGCCATTTTTTTCGGCATTTCGGCTTTTCGGCGTTTTAGAATTCGGCGTTTTAGGCGATCCCTACTTTAATGTTGTTTGAAATAACATGAAAAAAACGCATGCGTATAACATTCCAAAAAACAGTTCTAGGTCTGTGATTTCTTCAAAATCGGAAATGTTAGAATGAACGACATTATATAGCACTAACCATAACACTATATGGGAATATATTAGCATATAACAATTTGGAAAAAAGCCGTATGCGGCTCGCGATCCGCCATTTGGCCATTCCTGTTATATACTATAGTATTCCTGCTTTTCACATATGAAAAGCTGTTTTCATTAAATGAAAATAATAATAGCTGTTTAGACAAAGTATAACAAAAAGCTCTTTCCGATGTCGAGAAAATAACCTCTTTTAGATATCAATATAAAAGAGGGAGCATTTTCTACATTTTATATATGTTTAAACATAGAGATAAAATTTATAAATAAAACAGCAGTATTGTTCAATAGAATATTTTTTCATCTTTCTCATTCTCCTCTGTTTCTTGAGCGAGCTCTGTTTCTAGACGTTGTTGAATAAAGTTAACTATTTCACGTCAAGAACTCTTTTCATACGAGCTGGACTTCTAAAAAGTGGGTGAACATTAAAAACAGTATGTTATTTTAATGTAGTACAAAAAAGCAAATGAATTTTGATTAACTGAGTGAAACACAAGACTTACCGACTGATTCAAAAATGGGCTGATCCTTTCAACCCTTTTTGTTTCCAGCGCAGTCCTTTCTTTTTGTCCCCACTAGGTCAAATTAGGACAGTAGTCAATCGGTAAGCCATCTAAAAATATATAAAAAGGAGTATGCTAAATAAATTGACGATGTATTTTATTGTAGTGCTTAAACCAAGCTAAAAATTTGCACCTCTCAGATTTGCTATGAAAGCCAAGTTATCAAAAACAGATATTGATATTTTTCTGTCTTCTATGACGTGACTTTTTAAATTAATTTCTACAACAACTAATTTTGCTGAAATTATGTATTGTAGTCCCATAACAATTTAAAAATCCGTTATTGCCCAGCTAGCACACTTACATTGGGCCAACGTATGCAAAACCATCGCAAAAGTCGGCTTTTTTTTCCAATGCAAAACCAACGTTGTTCCAATGTCATATGGTTAATTATAAAATTATTACCGACGGAACTAAAAACATCTGGCAAATTTACATTGGTTCAATGTATGTAAAAACATCGCAAAAATTTGATTGCTTTTACGATCTAAACCCAATGTTGATTCAATGTATACATTTCGACGTTGATTCAATGTATATAAATCAACGTTTTTTCAATGTATACAAAAACATCGCAAAAAGTTAATTGTTTTTACGAACTAAACCTAACGTTGATTCAATGTATATAAATCAACATTTTTCCAATGTATGTAAAGACATCGCAAAAAGTTGATTGTTTTTACGATCCAAACGCAACGTTGATCAAATGTATGCGACCAAACATTGCTATTGCGTAGTTATAAAACACATCTTTAAGTTGTCTTAAAGACGTCTTTACAAGATGAACATAAACGTCTTAAATATATCTTAAAAAGGTCTACGTTGTCCGTCGAAAAGGTGTCATACTCAAGATTGCTTAAAGGCTTCTTACTAAAGACTAGTTTTACACATATTATATAAACGACCTTTAAACAATTTATTCAAGACGTCTTTTAGGTGTTTAGTTTATATTAAAATTAGCGTTTTAATGAAGTCTTAAAATAGCTAAGTAAATAAATAACGTCTTAAAATAGCTAAAAATAAGTTAATTGTATTGTATCTTTCTATAAAACAACTTATACAGCATATAACATATATACAACATATACAATAAAAAATAATAATTCATTTTAGTATTTTTGTATTTTTGTATTTTTCCACGATGGAGCATTTTTTCAAAAATCGTTGTTTGTTCAAAAATATGCTGTTTAGTATCCGCGTTTGAAACTTTTTTTAAATTCTCTTTTTACAACTTCTAAATATAAAACAAAATTCACAGATACTTGCCAAATAGTAAAATGTAAACTAGTCAAATAATTTTGTCGAACAAAAATCTTGAAAATAATTTTAATTTAACACAGATTTTTAATCAAATACTAAATAATATTAAAAAAATATTATTGTGTAAAAAATATTTTTTATTACCTTCTATTACATCATATGTTTTGGTTGAATTAAAAGCGTAATAATTAAAATTTATTTTTGACCTTCTACATCATATAGTTTAGTCGAATGTAAACCAATCTTTCCCTCCAGAACCTTTTAATTTGAACTGTGTCAACAAGGTATTTGTAAATAATCTATAAAACATATCAAATAAATAGTAAAATTTATGAAATATCTTAAACAATTTACCATTATTGATTTCCAAAATTATTAAACCTAAAAAAAAAATTTACAACAATAATGTACAAAAATGATTGCCATTCAAAAAAAAAAAAATACTAAAACCTATTCATGACCAATCTTGTCAGTTGTTGAAAATTTTCGGCACCTAAAAAACTGAGTTACTTAACCTAAACAAAATTCAGACAAAATAATTATAATACAAAAAATAATTATATTTTTTAATTTATATAGATAAACTATTTACCAAATCAAGTCTAACACAATCATCCACTAAACTTTTGTTAAAGTCCTCAAACTCTACAATTGTTTCTAACTGCTTGATTGCAATATTACTTTGTGGTTGCTTGTTTAATGCTAAAATAAGCTCCTGCTTTTCAAGAACCTTTGAAAGCATCTTAAACATCATGTGGTGGTATTCTAAATTATATAAAAAAAATGAAAAAAGAAATATATTAAATGCAAAACATATATTTATACAATTTCAAAAATATCTATTGCTATTGTTTTTATTCCTAAAAACAATCCAAGTAAAAAAAAAATTTATTTTATTTCCTCCAATATAAAAAAACAAATAAATGCTAAAAGACTTACTTCCAACTTCCCTAGGAAATTGATTTTTAACTAACTTCTCTGGTCCAAGCGCCGTTTTTTGTATGTCTGTTTTCAAAAGCTTTTTTTTTGGATTTTTGAGATTCAGGAGAAAAAATTAAAGCAAAAAAAATAAATATATATTTACATCAATGTATATATACATATATATATATATATATATATATATATATATATATATATATATATATATATATATATATATATATATATATATATATATATACATATATATATATATATATATATATATATATATATATATATATATATATATAAACCTACACACTTACACGCGCCGGCCATGTATATATCTGTTTATATATATACATGAATATATACATATACATGTACATATACATATACATGTACATATACATATACATATACATGTACATATACACACACATATATATATATATATATATATATATATATATTTATGTACATATATATATATATATGTATATATATATATATATATATATATATATATATATATATATATATATATATATATGTACATATATATATATATATATAAATATATATATATATATATATATATATATATATATATATATATATATATATATATATATATATATATATATATATATATATATATATGTACATATATATATATATATGTATATAGTAAAAACCTTCATTAGTTAACAATAAAAATTCTTTAATAAAATCATTAAGAAAATCATCTAAGCAGTTTGGTTTAGCATCTCCACAGAAAAGTGCAATAATGAAAATATAGTCCTCTATCCTCTATTAGACCAAGTATTGGCCATAGTTGAAGATTAGAAGATTTAAAAAGAGGTAGTCCATCAACATTAATGTTAATAGATACTTGGTACTTTGAAAAGCATTTTTTGTATTCAATAATTTAAGCTATCAGCAATAAGTATAATACGCATAAGTTCCACCACACTTCTTATCTACTTTAACAACTTTAAAGGGCTTAAAGAGGTTTCTTGCATTATTTTGCAACTCTGAATGACCATATTTTTTAAAAATCATTAAAAGTTCGTTTAAAAGACTCTGAGAAATTTTGCTTTTCGTTGACCGCACTGCCAAATCCTCTGATAATGTTTCTGTTGTCAACAATAGTGATGCATTATAACAATCAAAGTTCTCATATCTAAAACTTGAAGATGAACTGGTTATTCCGCATTCTTTAAAATCATTAAAAAGGTACCAAAGGTACAAAAGGTATTTCAGGCTCAGCATAAAAAGCATTAAGTTCAGGGTTCAAATCAGATGTACTAATATTATTAATTTCATCTTCTTCATCTTCAAATTTCATAATAAAATCAAATATACTTTTATTTAAGCGACGACGCTTAAATAAAAGTATACTGTTCGATGTTTAGTCTCAATAATGATACCTTAATAAATCTTATTGCTGGAATAGTAGTTTAGAAAATTAATATATTGATACCTAAAACAAACTTTTTGCAGGAATAATAGTTTAGAAAATTAATATTGGTTGGAGTAAAACCATAGTCAATAGAAATCCAGGTCTGGAAAAGCTATTGTTTAATCTTATTTTAAAACCGTATCTTGAAAAGTAGTCACGTGATCAAATTTAGTGCAAAACAAATTTTTAAATGGCGTTTTCTGAAGAACTTTTAACAGGCGAAACGCTTGATTATATAATAAATAATAATGCTGATGATGAATTAAATCCGCATTTGCAAGAATATTTTGATAATGCATTATTAGAGGTAATAATAATGTTTAAATTTTAATTAGAATGGTTTATTTTGGTGTAAAGGTTAACGCAAATGATTAAGTCAAATTAAAAAAACAATTTTAAAAGTTATTGTTATCTTAATATTTACTGTTAATAATCGTACTAAAATAGTAGATTTTTAATAACATAACTTTTTAAGTAGATTTCTTATAATATACGCAGACAAATATTTTAATCCATCCACTTCACGTGGTGAAATTTCTTCAACTTCAACATTCTTTGAAGGAGAGCTTTGAAAATAGTGAAATATTTTATTGCATAACTTTGTTGTAAATACTGTTGATGCAGGTTTCTTTAGATTAAAATATGTGTCTGAAAAGAGAACAATATTGCTATAAAAGTTGGAATATTATTTTCCAGCATTTCCAGATAATTTTAATTTTTTTGACATTTTTCTTATTTTATCAAAAAAGTTTACTGTTATTTTTATTTCAAAGTCTTTTATTTCTGAAATAATTTCTTCAGGATAAAGTTTATTTGTTGACAAATCAGCTTTAGTTTCTGCAACAATTTTTTTTTTATATCTGTGACAAAGTCATTATAATGCATATCTGTTTGACTCTTTATGGTATGTTTGTTTTTATAGTGTCGTGCTAAGCCTCCTTTTGTTTTATACCTTTTGGATTTGTAAATTTTCACTTAAAGTCTCCAATATCGGTTACCTAATATATATTAAAAATAGCATTTATTTTATATATATATATATATATATATATATATATATATATATATATCATATATATATATATATATATATATATATATATATATATATATATATATATATATATATATATATATATATATATATATATATATATATATATATATATATATATATATATATATATATATATATATATATATATATATATATATATATATATATATATATATATATATATATATATATATAACAACACTATAAAAACAAACATACCATAAAGAGTCAAACAGATATGCATTATAATGACTTTGTCACAGATATAAAAAAAAAATTGTTGCAGAAACTAAAGCTGATTTGTCAACAAATAAATTTTATCCTGAAGAAATTATTTCAGAAATAAAAGACTTTGAAATAAAAATAACAGTAAACTTTTTTGATAAAATAAGAAAAATGTCAAAAAAATTAAAATTATCTGGAAATGCTGGAAAATAATATTCCAACTTTTATAGCAATATTGTTCTCTTTTCAGACACATATTTTAATCTAAAGAAACCTGCATCAACAGTATTTACAACAAAGTTATGCAATAAAATATTTCACTATTTTCAAAGCTCTCCTTCAAAGAATGTTAAAGTTGAAGAAATTTCACCACGTGAAGTGGATGGATTAAAATATTTGTCTGGGTATGTTATAAGAAATCTACTTAAAAAGGCTAAAAAAACAAAAAATTACAAACTTCAAGCAACTAAAAAAGTTTCAAGTTCAGAAAAGTTAATAAATACCCAAAACAGAGGGGGTTTAGCAGCAGTATTTGAAGAATGATATCAGATTTTCTTGCTAGCTGAGAAACATTTTAGACAAGAAACTGCAGTTACTAACATTCGAGATATTGAAAGTAAGAATTTAACAAAACACCTATTAAAGGATCCTAATATTATAAGTTTTTACAATGCAATCGTGGATGATGTGAAATTCGTGTCTATTGATTAGGAAATTAAGCTTGTTAGAAAAAATTATAGAACTTTATTTTAGAGTTCGTACATTTTCATTGACTAAAAATATAACTCCAAAAAACAATGATCAAAGTTTTAAAGTAAAATCTTTAAGAAAAGTTATAAAACGTAAATCAAACAATAAATGAAGACTTAAACTTTAAACTTCATACAAACAATTGATATATTTTGTTATATGCTATGTTTATATTTCGATTATATTTATAGGTTTTTTTTTTGTTTTGGTAACTTTTCATTATCAACAACACTCCAAGATACCTCACATTTTTGACCATGACCACTTTTAGTATTTCAAGTAACCAGCGCAATTGATCTTTGCAATCGCATAGTATTTGACTGGTAACCAAATTGATATAATGTAGGGTTGTCATTTCTTCGACCTAAACTCCGTTGTCTACCAAAGTATTCCTCCAAAACGTCTTGATTGAATTTTTCAGTCAAAACAAACGGCATACCACTTTTTAATAAAATTTTTACCAATTCGATAACAGACATTACAGTTATTTGAAGTCCTTCGTATGTTTGCCAAGAGATAAACATTCTTCTTTTTGCATTGTTGGAAAAGTTACCAGGACGATTAATAATACACTCTTTCCATTTTTCTAGATAGTATAAAAATGTATTCTGTAGCCATGTCAAACGCTCGTCATTAACATCCGTGTATGGTAATAAAAATGGTTTGCGTTTCATTATCCCTTTACTCCTGTTTCGCACGTTTAAGCAATCAAAAAAACCATCTAACATTTCACAAAATTTTGCAGTTCCATTTGTATCATCAGGGTAATAATTTTTTAAAATGTTACTGACACTACTACTTAAAACCTGGGCTGCAAGTCTTACATTCATAACAGAATAAGCACTAAGTTTAATATGATCCTGTGTTAACTTTGGTATAATTTTTAACCCATTTTTCATTTCGTCATTGACTATTCTTGTGATATGATACCAAATCAATTGTTGTCCATCATTCCAAAGACGTGGTGTACCCCTGCCATCTCCTGAAATAAAAAAGATTGAATCTTAATATAACACAAAATTATTGCCTACAATTCAACTCTCAATCTAGGGAGGTTTAAAACATTGCATAGCTCTTCTAATCTTAGCTAAATAAGTAAGCATTTCATACTTTTTAATATAAAAATTTGTTATTTTATTATTACTTTCTAGCAAGAAATAACCATAACCTGATAATTTTCTACTGGAAAGGCCTGTAAACCAATACTCTATAAATATAATTTAAATACCTGAGTGATATAAACAGTTCCTTGCTGTTTTGATGAGATGGGGAGCATCAGCAAAAAACCATAAGTACCGTTCAGGGGCATAAATATTAATGCATTGATGAAGTTGGCATTAGTTGGAACGAGGTGAGACCTTTAGTAGCAAAGTGACATAAAGCAAACTTTAAGTCAGAAGCAATACCTCGAATGAAGTAGACTAAAACATGGCTTGCTAAAGAATCTTCCTTTTGAAAAGTAGAATATAAATCAGGTTCACCTAAATCTACAAAACCTATAATGTCAACTGTGTGTTTATTAAAAACAAGTTTTTCTTGTATTTTTACTTCATTAAAAGATAACGTTACATATCGTTGGTTGCCAACTAAGTTAATACTAATTTTATTCAATTCTTCAATTACGGGAGGGTTTAATCCAGCTTTCAGTTAAATGAAATTCTTATAATCTCTTAGAGTTTTGCGACTTGGTAATGTTAGTACATTTGATGAGCGCAACTCATCATAAGCTGAGGCTGACTTTGAGACAAGTGAGATGCAAAACCGTATTATCATAGGGTGATACTTTATTGAGCCAAAAATTTTATTGCACATTTTCTTTTGCTGGTCCCAAAATAATTTCATAAAGGGAGTAGCTTTTTGGTAGTTACTACTCATTATTTGTTTTAAATCATCAACAAACCCATCATCAATAGTAATATCTTTAGAGTCTATTTAAAAATTTATTCTTTCTTAATCACTTGTTAGCTGGGCACATCTTAGACGTTCTTGTTTTAATGCTAATAGAACGCGAACAGGATTTGTTTTACTAAATGGAGCTTTTCGAAAAGCAGGTGTGGCTAACTGATGTTGTTTTTTTATTTTATTCATTTTGTTATTTTTTAGTGTGTGGGTACAAAATGAACAAACAGAATTTATATCATCAGACTCAATAGTATGTAATATAATACATGATTTTGCTCTTTTAAGCCTTTCATTTGATACACGCGTACCATCTGTACTTGCACTTTCTAAATCAAATTCCATTGGAGCAATATGATCAACAAAATCATCATTATTTATATTTCTGATGTTTTTTTATAATACCAGAACAAAATCCTAATGTACATATTTTGCATAAAAGTTCGGTAACTGTAGTGTTCAGCATTGATCGTGAGTATAATTTATAGATTAAGTGAGTATCTGGCAAGAGCCATCCAAATACAATAATGGTGAACGCTAAACTGTCATCCACTACAACTTCATACTTAGGTAACAAATACAAAGGCAATAACTTTTTAAATTTGATATTGTTTTCATTACATGTCATTTTCCATCCACTAAATTTTAACTTTTGAGTTTTTTTCTGTAAATCAATTAAGTTTGAATAATTTATTCGATTCTGTGAGACAATATCATTTACAATACTTATGTGTCTTCTAAGTACATTTTTTTAAATGTGATTTTATGGGTAGGTTAACAGTTGGTAAAGCCTCCAAGCGTAACGATTTCCTTCCAGTTTCTGAAATTCAACATATTTCAATAAAGTAAATATAAATTATCACACAAAAATAAGAACAATGCTGAGAACTATACTGAAAAAAAAAGAGAATATGTTATCCGCAAAGTTATATAAAGCCACAAATACTTTAGGCTTTATAAAATTTATTTATTTATTGTACTTAAACTTATCAGAGTTGCTTAAAATTAATGTTTTTGGAATTAAATAACACAGAGTGTAAAAGCAAATTTAAACAACTAAATATATAAAAGTGTCTTTACTTGTCAATTCAATATCTCCTGCTAAAAAATAATTCTCACATATATAAATATTGCCCTTTGAGAGTCTTTCTTTTAAATCTTTGTCAAAGTCTCTATACTGAGTGATAACAGCTAACAATCTCTGTCTTCATTTTTTATAGGTCTCCTGTCCTCATAGGAATTCTGAATAAGGTGATATCTTTGCGCTTAATAGATCTTGAAACTGTACATTCTGGTAGACAACAATTTGAACCTGGCATTTTGGATTTATCTTTTAGACTTTTTTTAAATATAGAATATAAAGAAACATTTTAAAT